ATGCATCTGAGAGCTGGACAGTGAATAAGGATGACAGACGAAGAATTTATGCCTTTGAACAGTGGTGTAGAAGAGTACTGAATATCATGTGGACTGTCAAAAGAACAAATAGATAAGTTTTGAAGAAGAAGCAGCCAGAGTAGTCCTTGCAGGCAAAGATGATGAAGCTTTGGCTTATATTTTTTGGATATGTTGCTAGGAGAGGTTATTCCTTGGAAAGACCTCATGCTTGGGAAGGTGGAGGGAAGGCAAAGGAAGAAGACCCTCTCTCAACCAGATGGATTGGCACAATGACTGCAGCAGTGGGTTCAAGGGTATTGGAGATTGTGAGGATCACACAGGCTAGGACAGTGTTTGATCAGTTGTTCATAGGGTTGCTATGAGTCATACAGCAATACATCACACTCTATAATCCTCTTATGTGTCATCAAGGCAGAACTGACTTATAGCTGGCCTTTCAAAAGATTTTTTTGAGGCATAGGATAAGATTCCCTCTCTTTCTCCCATGTTGCAGCTGGTGGATCCAAACTCCCAGCTTTTAGGTTAACAACACAACTTCTTGGCACTAGACCACCATACTAATAGTCTCCACCTAATAGGAAAGGAGATGCATGCTTTGCTTCCTTTTACTTTCTTTTAAACTTTGATCTCTGTCCTCAATCTTAGAATGTTTTCTTTGCAACAATTCTCCTTCATTTCCCAAGGGATTTAGAGTGTTCCAAATTACAGGACAGAGTCCTTTTCTAACACAGAAGCACCAGAGTCAGGTCAGCCTAATAGGTCATTTTCTATTCCATTCACCCTCCCATTTGTCTGAAATCTCCACTACATTTTGACAAGAGAGAGCTTCTTCTTAACCCATTAGGGAGAATACAGGCAGGTAGGGCAGAAGTGCCATGGGCCAGGCCTTGCCCACAGGTGCTTTCTGAGTAAATGAATTCACGTCTTCTTAGTCCTATTGCATTCTTCACAGCTTAATCCTTGTTCTCTGATACCAAGAACACCAAATAATTCTCAAAGTGCAATAAACTAATGATCCCAAAAGAATAACTCACATTTCCAGCTGCCAACAAAATCAAGTATTGCTATGGTTCAAAGTATTTTTCTAGTAAATTTAAACATTGATAAAAATCACAATGATAATAGCATTGTTATTGTTATGTGCCATTGAGTTGCTTATGACTCACAGCAATCTATACAACAGCTCTGAACCCTGCTCTATCTTGAGCCAATTTCATTGTCTCCAACACATATACTCCCATTACCCCAGTCACTGAGTAAATCCATCTCATCCAGGGTTTTCCTCTCTTGCGCTGTCGCTCCACCCTTCCAAGCATGATGTTCTTGTCAACATGTTCTAAGTATGTGAGAGGGAGCTTCAAATCTTTGCCTCCAAGTAGCAGCCTGATTTTACCTTATCCAAGACAGATTTATTTGTTCTCTTAGCAATTCATGGTATATTTAATACTCTTTTCTAGCACCAGAACTCAAAGGCATCACTGTGTAGAGACCACCCTGATGCCCCTGCACCAGAACATCAATATCACGGGAGTGGAGAGGAAATGGAAGGACACAGGTGGTGGAAGGCCTGAGCCATCAAACCAGAGTTGGCTGGGGGTGGGGGATGGGAGATGCTGAAAGAGCAAAGAGATGGAATTGAGCTGGATGCTGACAGGGCAGGGTGAGGGTAAGGACACAACACATGCTTCAAAGGAGTGGGTCCCCGGGACCAACACCTGATTTGTTTCCTGCATACTATCATCGTTGTTTAGGTAAAATGCTTGCCTATCAAATATTACTCTAAAGCTGAGCACCCAAATTAAGTCGGCCATCCACTTCCAAATTAACAGGCCTTTGAAACCCCTGTATGTTATATTATAGAATATCTAATAATAAGGGTCTTTCAGATGACTGGGAGCTGGAAAACTCACTCTCATCAACTTATGTTCATTCATCCCGTATGCTTTGGATGTGTTATCAGGAATGTCAGGCCCTGAATAAAGACATCATACTTGGTAAATTAAAGAGTCAGCCAAAAAAGGGAAGGCTTCCAGTGGGATGGATTGTCAGTGGGCTCAAGCCCAGCAGAGATTGTAAGGATGGCACAGGCCCAAGAAATGACAGTGTCACATCACAGCAACTTGACAAGAGCAATGGTCAGTTTCTATAAATTTTTATTCTTTTCATCTTGAGAAATTAAAAACTACAAAAGAGTATCGAGAACATAATGCCTGCCTGCGTAATGATGATTGTTACTGATTACATTACAGTTTTGTGTATCACATTCCCATTGTTCAGTTCCTCCCACCCAAGTGATAACTCCTGTCAAGAGTTAAGCATGAAAAAAAAAAAAAAAAAAAAGAGTTAAGCATGTCTGTCCTGCCCACTTTTAAACTATTACAGGCACATAAAAAAGCATTTCACATTTTACACAAACTTTTTAAGATTGCAGCTGAGGAAATGGCTCTGCCTTTCAGACTTAAGGTCTCTGGGTGGTGTAAATGGTTTGCATTTGGCTCCTTACTGAGAGTGGAAACTCAAACCAGCCCAACTGTGTGGTAAAATGAAGCCCTGGCAATTCACCTCTGCCAGGTGACAGCCATGAAAACCCGCTGAGCCATCCTGCCCTGTAACTCACAGGGTTGCCGGGAGTCACAAATCACTTGATGGCATCAAGTTTGGTGCTGGACTTTCAGACTTAAAAACTCAGGAATTGTGCTGCCAACTCAAAGGTACATTGTTTGAATCCACCAGCTTGTCTGCCAGAGATAGGTAGGCATTCTCCTCCTTTTATTTACTGCCCCTAAAAATTTGCTGAGGGTCAGGATGGATTCCCAACTCAACGGTAAACAAGAACAACAACAGTGTGTTCCCCCACCTCTTGTAAACCAGCTTGACATCTAATGATTTTAGATTCTCTAAATGAGTCAAAGATCTTCACATTTTAAGTAGGGTCTGTGCTCACAGGAAAGAACTGTGGTGGCAAAAATAGGAAAGCATTCAGCTGCTAACTAAAAGGTCAGTGGTTTGAACTCACCCACCAGTTTACAAGAGAAGGATGTGACCATATAAAGATTACAGCTTTAGGAACTCTCTGGGGCAGTTCTACTCCTTAGGTTTTGGGTTAACTCAAAGCTTGGAATCCACACTAAGTTTTGGGCTTGGTGTGGCAAAGAGCAGGCTTGCCGTAAGCTCATGTACATGTGAATGGAGCCCAAAGTGATAGCATTTCACACTTGTAAGTGATAAGGGGGAGGTGGCAGCTTTGAGGGATCATGTTTCAAGTCCAGCCCAGGCTTTTATGTGTGTGGGAATGGAGGCAAAGGAAAACACAGCTGAACTGCCTTGTAGCTCTTCCTGTTGAACCTGTTCACATCCAGGGTGAGTAACGCTGGGGCGAGATGGCTCCCTAGAAGAGCTGCCCGGTGAAATTTGTGCCAGCCTCCAAGCAACTCTGCCCAAGTGGTCTCCAACAAAACCCATCTGCACCCCATTTAAAAATATCCCTCACTTCTGGGAAGACCTGCCAGTGAGAACTTCGCTCTCCTCACTGCCAGCCAGGAGTAGAGAGAAAGATGGGGAGGTGCCTGGGCAGACTTGCTGATGTCAGTGTGTGTCATTGTGGGAGGCTGGCTCTGTGACACCCAGGCACACCTGGGTGCCTTATGAAACCGGCCCAGAGCTCGCCAGTGCCTGGAAGGGGGAGCTGAAGGAACCCGGGGATTCCCCAGCTGTTCTGTCCATTCAGGGACCTCTGAATTGAGAGAAATGAGAGCTTCAAGTCCACAGACATTTTAGGAAGTCGGTATGTAGCCGTGAGCTTTCACTGATTCCCTTGGAGCGTGAGAGTTGTAGCCTGTGAACGTGAAGGGCTGGGTGCTGCCAGGCTGCCACGTTCTTTCCTCTGTTCAGGTTGGGGATTTGGTCTGGGCACTTCGGTTTCATGGTTGCCTGTACATGGGGACCTTCAGCTCCTCTGTCCCCTTTCATGAGCTTTACATGTTGAGAGAGTCTTCGTTTCTGTGCTTCAGGAAATGATATTGCAGTAAGTGTGTTACAGAAAAGTTCTTACACAGCTACGCTGCTCTTCAGAGTCAGCTGAGATCTGAGAATGCTATGAGGTTGCTGGTTATTATCTCCCTAATCTTCAAGACAAGGCAGGGAAGAGGAATCCAACCCCGACGTCTAAGCTGAGATAGACAAGTTGTGGCTTAGGCCAGCATGAGATCTCCGGGCGGCTGGGACAGACCCTCAAAGTCCTGCCAATCCTGCTTCTCTCTGGTTTTCAGGTCAATAGTCCGATCTGTTGCTCCCCATCAAGTGGCAAATGCCACAACACACAGTGCTGGAATGTCCCCAGTGCAAAAGGAGAAGTCTATTGTGTTTGCAATGACTGGGGCTCTGACTCCAAAAAGGCAGTCTCCCACCCCCACCCCCTGCCCGACTCCCCTGTGGGCTATGGTGTCCCCCTCTGGGGGACCTGCCCCAGTGGGAGACCGAGAATCCCCTCAGCAAGCAAGCGGGCTTGTGTTTTACTTTCACTTTGCATTCTTTTGAAACCTGATCTCTGATCTTATTGAAGCCACAGCTCTGTGGCTATTTTTCCATTTAAACGTGGAGTCAACATCTCTGAGCATGTGCTTACTGGAACCAGTGAGGATTTCTGGGTTAACTCTCCCACTTAAATGAGTCAGAGGAAAAATAGTGTACACACTCCTCTACAGATACCTGGCTTTATTGTTCAGGGGAGATTTACCGGTGAGATGAAGTTTAATAATTAAAGATTATTCTCAGAGGAAAAAAAAAGAATGAAATGGTTTCCGGTTATAGTAGCTTTGTGAAAAGACTGAGTCACATAGTTGTGCTCAAAATCTTATCAGCACAGGCCTCCCTGTGACCTAACATCATTTGATTACTAAGCCAATCTGGATGTTTAGTAAAGAGAAAAAGAATAAGATCTGGTTTTTCTATCTTCTTTCTTTTTTTTTTTTTTCTTTTAGTTATTCCAGTGGAAGCAGTTAGAGAACCTGTATTTCCGTGAGAAGAAATTTGCTGTTGAAGTTCACGACCCACGAAGGTAAGAGTCACATCCTCTGGCGCTGCTGAGAACGTCTGTCCACGCGTGTCTGCAGATGCACGCCGTCATCCCTCCTCGTGGAGCTGCCAGGCAGCTTTCCGTAGTCACTTACGGGGGTTTTTCCCCATCAGCACCATGTGAGGCTCTCTAGTCTTCCCATCCTGTGTCATAAATTGTACCCATTCTCAGAAGTGTGAAGTGGTATCTCACTGTTGTTTGGATTTGCACCTCTTTTGACTGATGATACTGAGAGTCTTTCTCTCTCTCTCTCTCTCTCTCTCTCTCTCTCTCTGTGTGTGTGTGTGTGTGTGTGTGTGTACCACTTGGATACCTTCTCTCACTGAGGGGTTTTGCAGACAGTCCAGTTGCTCTGAGTTCACCAGGAGACACCTGAAAAGGAAACCTTAGTGACCTACTTCTGAAAAGTCAGCCATCGAAAATCCACGGAAGCCAGTTCTCTGACACGTGTAGGAATGCCACCAGTCTGTCAACTCAGTGGCAACAACTGGTTTAATCACTAGTGACTGGGCTTGGTCACTTTGAGAAAGCAGTTGCCAAATTAGTAACATCAATTAGGATCTAGGTTCTCATGAGAAAGTCTTATGCAGTCCTGGGTGGTGGGGTTTTTTTGTTCCAAAGATTATAAATATTTGGTAGACAGAGAAATGAGAGAAAAAGAGATGACCCAATGAGATAAGGAAAATTCCAACAAAGTACTCACTTTTCCCTGAAACCCCCCCCCCATCTATCTGTCATGTGTCCCCTTTCTTCCTCTCTCCCCCATCTGCTCTCATCTGCATACGCTGAGCTCAGCACCCACTGTGGGTGGACTTGCCTATTTTCAGACAGTGTAATCATGTTCATGCTCCAGTAGTACCACAAGAGCCATTTGAATCTATAGCTAACTCAGAAATTCACTTGCACCCTGAAACATGTGCTGATCCCAAAGGGCCTGATTATTTGGTCTGCAATTTATTGTCACATTTATTCCTTACAGCTGGTTGTGCATCCTTATAACTTTTTCTATTTTTCATTGAGAGTATAACTTCTTATATAATGAGCTTTTTCTTGCTTTTGAGAGAGAGTGTATGTGTGTGTTTTAATCCACTGGCTCATACAGAGAAGGTGTCCTGTTGTCTCGGTGCATAAGGTGCCAGACTGCTAAACAAAAAGGTTGGCAATTTAAATCCACCTGCTGCTCCTTAGGACTCTTTGTCCTAAGGTCAGTCTCTTCCTGTGAAGCTCTAAGGCCTCTTATATCATTAACTGGAGGGCCTCTGTGGTCAAGTCAACTCCACACAGTGGTTTATCTTACATAGAAAGAACTCACTCAGAGTTGTTACTGATTTTGTCTTAAAGGGAAACAATGAGAAGCATGGCTGTTATCAGTGGAAGACTGAGAACAGCACAGTTAAGAAGATGCCCTATTGCAGCATCACATAACAAGTCCATTTTGGGTTGAGATTTGCTGAAGGTGAATAATTTGAGTGCTTTCCCTCTGCTTTCAGGATTTCAGTGTCAAGAAAGACCTTTGGGCAAAGTGGCCTCTTTGTGCAGACGTGGTATGCAAACTCTTCTCTCATCAAATCCATCTGGGTAATGGCCATTAGTCAACATCAGTTTTACTTGGACCGGAAGCAAAGCAAAGTGAGTATAAGAATTCCTGTCAGGATTAATTCCAGTGCTTCATTTGCTTTCTACTGAGTACATCCACTTTCTCAGAAAAGATGTAAACACTTGAAGCTTTTCTCTCTGAATTTGTGTGTGTGTGTGTGTGTGTGTGTGTTAACTCTATCACTAAATGTTTTAGTTTCCTTACATTTCAAAGATGGGTTATATACTAACCAGTTTAAAAGTTGTAAGATCTGCCAGCAGTTTGGTATGTGGCTGTGTGTGTGGGGGTGTGTGTATACATACACATTGGTGATGTGGCTGGGGACATTCCAACATTATTGCCTGAGCCCTATGATGGGGGAGAGAATGTAGAGTCATTAAGAGTATTTTAGGTGCAAAGCTCAAGTCTTACATGTTTCAGAAATTTAATATCTAAAAATTCTAACACACCATCCTTGTGGACATTTTATTCTCTAGTAGCAATAATATCTTATTAATTTGAGGTTTATCAGATATGTTTCTGTGTTGTGACTGTCTTAGGCAAAAATCCCCTCCGCCAGGAGTTTAGATGACATCGCAATGGATCTGACAGAGATGGGGATGCCACGAGTCTCCATGCTGGCGACGCTCGAGGCCAAGAGCCAGTTCATCATGGCGAGCAATGGCAGTTTAATCTCCTCAGGTGATCATTTCTGTGGTGGAGGTGGTGGGGAGGAGGGTGCTAGAAAATGTTCAAGCTCTCTTTATTATGCTTTAGTTTGGTTTTTACAGTCATCGGTCCTTCTCCCTCCCTTTTATTGAAAGTGTGGTGCATTCATATATCACCTAATATTTTCTATTTCAACACTCTTCAGCATTGCTGTTGTCCGACTTCATAGCAAGACCCATTTTCTTTTTTTTTTTTTTTTAGCAAGACCCATTTTCAAATGAATCTTTGAACCCATATTTTAGGAATAAGTGAGGCTAAAAAACAAAACAAAACAAAACAAAAAAACAACCCTTTTGTACACCACAGTTTTGATCTAATTTGAAAAAGCTTGAGAAGTGATTGGAGAAGTGGCATTTCTGCACAAAGAGAGTTCTTCCCATGGCTTAGGAGGGCAATGTCCCCTGACCTTGTGGGCTGTAAAATCCACTAACTTCCCCCATCAGTGGGATTTTGCACATGTGAGAGAAAATACTATGCAAACATGCCTATAAGATGACCTCCCTCTGAGATCTTATGGTTGCCTCCCAATCCACCTCTGAAGAAATTCAAGACTCTTTCGTCTCACTAAAAACACCGACTTTACCAAAACTTATTTTCCTAAGTCTCACAGCTCATAACAATGAGGTGTACATTCTTCTTCTTGTCACAAAATGGTCTCCAGCATTATTTTCTTTTAAGAGAAAGAACATTTTTTTAGAAGTTAGCTCAAGAAACATCTTACATTTTCTCTTGTTCAGAAAAAAACAAAAACAATTAATTTTCCCCCCTGGTGTATCTGAAACATTAAGTATATTATTCATTGCTTCCAAAAAGACTGAGCCAGAAAGAAAAGGTACATTTTATTACGAGGCTCTGTTTGATACCCAGAGCATGAGAAAATATCTCCAATTTCCTTTTATTATGTTCAGGAACAAGGAGAGAAAAAAGAAACTACCATTTAATAGCAGGTTTGGCTTAAAATCCTTTGTCCTTTAAAAAGGAAGGAAACTTGCCTTTATAAACCTTCCTTGTTTCCCCTCCCCCAGGCTCTCAAGACTCAGAGGTTAGTGAGGAGCAGAAAAGAGAGAAAATTCTGGAACTCAAGAAGAAGGAAAAGTTGTTGCAAGAAAAACTCCTAAAAAAAGTCGAGGAGCTGAAAAAGATCTGTTTGCGAGAAGCTGTGAGTGTGTCCTGCTTCTTCAAGTTCTTCACGTCATGTCTGACAGTTCAAGCCTATGATAATTTCCCCTGTTACTCTGTCCTGTTTCACAGGAGCTCACTGGCAAGATGCCCAAGGAGTATCCACTGAACGTAGGGGAAAAACCTCCTCAGGTCAGGAGGCGGGTGGGCACCGCATTCAAACTAGATGACAACTTGCTGCCGAGCGAAGAGGTAGGAGCCATTAGACAATTACTGAATTAGACAATCACTGAATTTTTACACATTGAGAAACTATCATGTAAGAATTAAGAACTTTCCACTACTGGATTCGATTCGCCAGAGCAAACTAAGTAGTCTTTGGCAAGTAACTCACCCTTGCTAAAGCCTCAGTTATCAAGACTTAATTTCCTCATCTATAAAATGGGAGTGATGGCCATGAGGGATGCAGTGAGTATTAAAAGAGATAATACATGTGAAGTTATCAACTATAATAACATTGTAAGATTTGTTAGCCAGTTTATTTTGATTTTATGTCCTTAAACTCTGTGACCCTATATGTGTTTCCTTTAGAAATGTTACCAGTCTTGACTTTAGAATACAATAGCTATTTCTAACAATAATCAAGCAATTACTTATTGAGTTCCATTTACAGCCAGTATTAGCACTAATGTACATGCATTATCTCATTCAATCTTCTCTACACCTTTATATAGTGAATGTTATCTCTATTTTATAAAAGGGGAAAACACTGAGGCATTAAAAAATTTAAGCAGGATTCCCAGTTCCACACAACCAGGAACTACCGGAAAGCCGACTCATGCTCAAATTTGTCTGTCTCTGAAGTTATAAAAATGAATATAACATTCTGCTTCCATGAGTTTTGGGTTAAAAATCTCAGGGGTGGTGGGGGAGCGGGGGTGGTAGAATATGATCTTCACCCCTTCTGTGAAAAGGAAAAGGCTTGAACTAATGACAAATCTGAGTAAGATGGACAAGGAATCTTATCTGCTTGGAAAGTGTATAAGGATGCTTATGCAGGATGATCCTGCATTTTATTCTCAAGCAGCATCTGATTCAAAAATATACCAGAAATGTATTATTACCCAACACACGTGCAAGTGGCTGTGCATGTTTACAAAAGTATGTAAAAATCTGTATGTACAGGATCCTGCTTTGCAAGAGCTGGAGAGCAATTTCCTAATACAGCAAAAGCTAGTTGAAGCTGCGAAGAAACTTGCCAACGAGTCAGACCTGTGTAAAACAGTAAGGAAGAAACGAAAGCAGGACTACACTGATGCTGTCAGAAAGCTCCAGGAGATCGAAAATGTCATCAACGAGTACCGAATTAGATGTGGCAAAAAGCCTAGCCAGAAAGCAGCCGTTATTTTACCAGGTCAGTGATAATTAAGGTTCATAAAGTCATGTTGTCAGTACTCTTAAAGTGGCCTTTTTGAGCCAGTTCATTTGATGAGGACAGAGCAGAAGGAAAAACAGGATTGAAAATAACATAAATTTCTTAGGATTAAAACAGTTTGAAATTTCAGTCTTAAAAGGTTGAAAATTGTATTTCCAGTGACTTCTCACTGTGGAACTACTACACTGTTGAATTGCTTTATTTCTCAAGGTGAAAGAGTGTTCAAAGAAATATTAGTTCATAAAAAGACAGACTGACCTTTTAATTGGCCTGGTGTTTAATACATTGGTGATCACAGGACCCTACCGAGTCGCTTCTGAAAGCTTTTTAGGTGCTTATGCATTGTGTCATGTATTTGCTTAACATGTAGGTAAGAAGTCGTTGTTGTTATATGCCATCAAGTCACTTGTAACTTATAGCAACTTATGTATAACAGCCCTAAACCCTGCTTTATCCTGTGCCAATCTTATTGTCTCTGACACACCTACCCCTAATACCCAGTCACTGAATCAATCCATTTCATCAAGGGTCTTCCTCTCTTGCACTGTCCCTCCACCCTCCCAAGCATGACGTCCCTCTCCATGGATTGGTCCCTCCTTGCAACATGCCCAAAGTATGTCAGATGAAGCTTCAGAATCTTTACCTCCAAGAAGCAGCCTCGCTTCAAAACCTCTCCAGGACAAACCTGTTTGTTTTCTTAGCAATCCATAGTATATTCTATACTCTTGTCCAGCACCACAGCTCAAAGGCATCAATTCTCCTTCTATCATCCCTAGTCATTGTCCAGCTCTCTGATGCATAGCAAGTGATTGCAACAACCATGGCCTGTATCAGGCACACCTTAGTCTCCAGACTGACACTGTTGCTCTTCAGTACTTTAGAGAGGTCTCTGACCACAGACTTTCCCATAAGAGCTCATAGAATTATTATTTATTATTGTTATTATTAGTGATTACTTAGAGATAGCAGAAATTGTTCATGCTGTGTTACTGAGAGGCAGGGTGCAAAGCTATAGCCACAATATGATCCCAGCATCACAGAGTATGCATTTACCAAGACTGGGGAATACTTAAAAATATTACTAATTTTTTTAGAATTAGAATTTCAAGTAATTTCATTTTCTTAATACTCCTGTGTTTTCCTAGTTCTCAACCATATCTATCTATTACTTTCATTGTCTAAAAAAGGTAACCAAAAGAGTCTCATTTATCTAGATTTCAGGTCCAACTGGCTATGTACATGTATTTGCATTTTTTTCAGCTACGATTGTTGGCTGAGTCATATCTGTATTTCTTTGATTTTGTAATTATGAATTTTAAGATCTGGGTAATCGGGATGGGAGTGTCAGAGACAGTGCGATTGGCATAGAACAGATCAGAGTTTAGGGCTGTTGTACATAGGGCCTCTATGAGTTGCAAGCTACTCGGTGGCACATAACAACAACAACAACAAAATTGAGATATTTCTTATTTTAGAAGTGATATTATCAAGTTTTATAATTGGTGGTATCTTTTCTCATACTGGAGCAAAATAATTAGCATCTTCCTATTGATGGCATCTTATGTTTGACAAAACATAATGACTGGCTTGTGTTAAGTCTTAAACATATGGTTTATAAAGCAGAGAGTTGGCGTTTGAAAAGTAGATGCACAGTCATGAGCCAAGTGGTCGTCAGCTACCGCTGGGGAATTCAGGGTGACGCTGGCTCAGATCAGAGGCCCAGCTGGCCTTGACAGTGGTTCTTTACAAAGATGGTGATTAGCAGCGCATGCCACCTTCACGGCCATTTGTCGTGGCCACACTCCTTCACATTTAGACAACAGATGGTGTCGATGGCTGAGCATACATCGGATAGATTTTTTTAGTGAGTTTGACAGCTGACTGTCTTGGCACCTCACCTCTCAGCTCCACCATGTGTCTAGATTAAGGGATCGTCTCCCTGGCTCTAATGGAGATTAACATTTGCAATAGGCTGGGGAGATCCCCTTCAGAGTGAATGTGTGCATTACGTTGAGACATCCTGCCTGCTTGTCCGCTTGTGAGCATGCTCATCACTGCATATGGAATCATCTACTCAAGTGGACAACATAGCATTGGATGGACCCCAGTAACAGAACTATGGGTGTTTCTAACCAGCCTAAAGAATGCTGCATCTCAGTACTAAAAGTATGGCTGACATTATTTAGTGAGCGTTTGCCATGTGCCAGAAACTAGGCCAAGGGGGTTTTTGTGCATTTTTTTCTTTTTTTTTTTTTTTTGTGCATTTTTCATTGACTGCTTATTCCAGCCTTATGCAGTGAGTATTGTCATTACCTCCATTGTAGAATTGAGCCAAATTATGTAAAATTGCTTAGATGAAATAATTTTACATAAGTCTCACACTTAAATGACATAGTGATCGTTTGAACCTGCTGCTGCTGCTGTTGTGTTATGTGCCATCAAGTCAGTACCAATTTATAACTGACCCTCCAGTGAGTTTTCAAAGTCTGTAAATTGCACAGGAGGAAACTGCACATATACTTTCTTGGTTTTAGCACAACTGCTTACCACTAGACTACCAGGGCTCCCTAATTTTAACCCAAGTCTGTTTAATTCAGTGGTTCTCAACCTAGGGAAGTTCTGGCCTTCTCGCTGGTAGTGCTAGTAGCAAATGTGCAGAGTCATTTTGTTGTCCACAGCAGGGGTAGAAGTGTGCACAGACATCTAGTAGGTGAGGCAAGAGATGCTGCTGAGCCTCCTGATACACACAGGACAGCCTCCCATAGCAAAGGACCATCCCATCTAAGTGACTGAGGTGCCACCACTGAGAAACCCAGGTCTAATTCAAAAACTCCACACCAAGAGTCTCCCCAGTCCAGCAAAGACAAGCCCTTTTCTTCAGGGATGGATCAAAGCACAAGTTGTACTCCTAGTAAATTCTCAGCATTTACATATTATTTTGCTTATTATTTAGCATTTTTTAATGGTGCACTCATTTTAGAGGGTGAAGTTTATGTCCAGTATAGAATTTCGATTGAAAACTTATTTAAAATCAAAAGTCACTCAAATCTCATTCCATTTTAAGAACTGATCCCACGTAATATGTGGACAATATGTAAAATATTTTTATCTTCAGCAAATGAATCCGTTTCTTACATTAACTAATAATACTTAATGCACTATAATTTCTTGCATTCATATCATTATAAACAAAATACACAGTCCACTGAGAATCGCTGTGCTCTCCTCACTCTGCATGTGTGCACACAGTTGTACTAAAGATGGTTCCTTCTATTTTCAGAAGATGTAATCCCATCAGAAAGTAGCTCCTTGTCAGACACCACTACCTACGATGACCGTAAGTTCCCTCCCCTTTTTATTTTGGAAAATGTTTTCAGGTTAACTCAGCATTAATAAATTACACAATTTTTGAAAATTAAAGTGCTGTCACATGAGCAAGTAAATGTCTCCACAGCGATTTGCATGAGAGAGAGAGAGTGTGTGTGTGTGTGTGTGTGTGTGTGTGTGTGTGTGCCTTCTAGATTAAGATAATTACAGACTCTCAGGAAGTAGCATAGTAGTAAACACACAGTTCTTCACCCAAATTCCCCAAAGGTGAAATCTTTCATATCTGGAGTACAGTGTCAACACCAAACAATTGCAATGTAAACTTTGTTCAGAATTGTATTATTCTTTTTCTTAGAAAGAGAAAAGCATTCTAGAAATTGAGTTACATGTCATTTGTCCATTCCATCAGTAGGGCTGTAACTGTTGTACTGGCTGTGTTTTCTCAGCCCATCACATAATGAAATGAGTTTCACGTTGAGTGTGTAATGTTTCCTTTCAGCCCCTTTATACCTTAGCATGCAAATTGGCTGTCAAATATGATTTGCAGTCTTTTTTAAGAAGTCAATGAGACATTTCCCCCTACTACTGTATACCCTTTCTCCTAGTCTCCTCCTCCCTAATTTTTATAATGCACAATGTTTTATAGTTTCATAATTATTTTTTTGAAAATGCAAATATTAGTGAAAGACATAAGAAGTCTACTAATTTATCATAAATTATTTGATAAATCCAGCCCTTCCAGTGAGAGGATAAACCTTTGGTCAGCCAAAGAGGGTTAGGAGCTTCAAAATAGATGTGAAAAAAAATTAGCTCAGACCTCACTGCTGAGCTAACTGTCCCTGCCCCTTTAGACATTGGGATTTTAAAATGCAAGTTTAGAAGTGTGACATCACCATTCCATGTGAATGACTGCTTTGCTCAGAGTGATACCTCTTGCAAAAATCATTGAGTCACTTCCTTTTTCCCATGTTTACAATATAAAAAAATTAATGTCCTGAGTTTTCAAAAACACTGCTTATCAGATCTTCCCATTTCTTTTGAGATGTTGACAAGGTATTTCTTTACTTCTTTGGTTACCTATTTATTTATTGTCTTACTTGTTTGCTTATTATAGCCAATGACTCCTTCACTCTGGCTGGGCAGCGATCAAATTCAGTTCCTCAGTCTCCAAGAATCCTTCCCCCCAGGTCTCTTGGCCTTGAGCGAGTCCATTTCAGAAAGTCATCCATCAATGAACATTTCATGGATTCTAGGCCGTCCAGGTGAGAGGCTGCACCACAGCAGCATTCATACTTGTCACCTATGAATTCTTTTCTCTAAAATATTGACATTTTAAAATCAATTTTTTTATGCTTTCGGAAGGCATTATCTTGCTCACAGTTGTTATGAAGCAGAGAAACTGCTTTGTTGTTGAGAGCAAATGAACACATTTTTTAAAGGCCCTCTAAAAAACCTTTAGGCGTTCCTGTGGGGGTAGTCCCTGGCCTGTTGCAAGCTAACAAAAGGGCCGTGTGTCTGCAACTGTTCAAATCTGCCAGCAGCTCCAAAGGAGAAAGATAGACTGTCTCTTTCAACTAAGATTTGCAGCCTCAGAAACCTGAGGGAGGGTGGCTAAGAGTTGGAATTGACTCAATGACAACGAGTTTGAGAACGATAGTCTAGTAAATAGGTAATTCAATTAGCAGCACAACTTCCCATGAACTAAGCCACCAGAACTTCCTTGTTAGCCTATGGTATAGTGCAAAAATAACATGTAAATATACTGGGAACTTAAAAAAATTCATGTGACTCACTTTATTATGAAAGTCTGGAGCTGAGCCAGCTGCATCCCCACAGTATGCTGCTCCTCAATTTCATCTAGGACCTAGTCAGATGCTAAACCACAGATACACCTTCCCAATTTTCTCTTTATGTTGCCTCTCCTTCAGTTTCCAGTATGTTTCTTATCAGTTTATGACAAGTTTGCCAAAAATGTTGAGATGCTTATCATTTCCTGCATTCTTCTTTTATCTTCCCAGAGAAATGCTGTCAACACACAGCAGCCCTTACAAAACTCTGGAGCGGCGGCCGCAGGGAGGACGGAGCATGCCCACCACGCCAATCCTCACCCGCAATGCCTACAGCAGCAGCCACTTGGAGTAAGTCCTCCTCGCTCCAGTTGCTTTGGCTTTGTTGATTTTCTGGTTTGAGCTTTGTTTCACTTTGTTGTGCTTTTTAATCGTGTTAAGTGACTTTTCTGCATCCAGAACTTGGTTTATGGATCTACATTTTCTGCTAATTTTAGTTTCAAATATCAGCAAGGAAAAATGTGCTTCATTTTTATGAATAAGTATTGACTTTCTTGTTCTTTGATTTCTTTAGTCAGACTAACCATTCTCATTGTAGAAGGTGAAATTTTGTTATTCCATAGTGATGATAAAGATAATAGTAATAATAACATTTTGAAGTGTCTAGTGAGTAGCCAGTGCAACCCTGGTGGCATAGTGCATGTTGAGCTGCTAACCATAAGGTAAGCTGTTCAAATCCACCAGCTGCTCTGCAAGCAAGATGGGCATTCCCTTCCTGTGAAGATTTGCAGCCTTGAAAATGCAGTGCAGTGTGGCTGTGAGTTGGAATTGATTCAACAGCAGTAGGCTTGGTTTTGCTTTAGTTAGTGTCAGGCCCTGTGCTCAGAGGTTTATAGGTACAGTGCTACTTAGTCTCCACAACAAATCTGGTTTTAGTGTTCAATGTTACTGCCACCCATAGTTTGCAAAGGTAGAAGTAAGAGCCACAGAGGTTAACTATCTTACCCGAACGCACTCGGCTGGGAATGAACCATGACTCATCAGAGATCTTGCTGACTTCAGAGCCCAGGCCTGCTCCAGGCTGTGGGGCCTGGTGCTGATGAACCCCTGTGGGCTGTAGGAGGGAAGGCCTTCTGGAGACAGGGCTGTTGTCCAGGCTGTAGCCTGTGCATCCCTTTATCTCCTCTCCCCTCAGGAAAAGGTTTGGATTACACAGTAGACAGAACCTGGTTTTTCTCTCCTGTAGACTTAGAGTTCCTGGGTAGTGTGAACTTTTGAGCAATTGACTGCTAGCCCAAAGCCTGGCGATTCAAGCCCACTGAGACGTGCTCCGCACACAGGCCTGGTGATTTGCTTGTGAGAGGCCTTCACCTTGACATCCCTGTGGAGCAGTTCTGCTCTGCTCATGTGGGGATGTCATGGGTTAGAATCAGGTTGACAACAGCTAACAGCAGTGACATTGAACTCTATTGTGCAGATTGCTTTGGAAATTGAAAATCTATATGAAATGGAAGAGCTACTAGACCATCTCATATCGTTTTGTTTTTTCCCTCTGTCTGAGGCTCACGTGTTGACCTTTTCTGCTCTTTCCAGACCCGACTCGTCCTCTCAGCCCTCCCGCCAGCGCAGTGGGAGCCTTGAGTCCCAGTCTCACCTGCTTTCTGAGATGGACAGCGACAAGCCACTGTTCTCCCTCTCCAAATCCCACAGAAGCAGCAGCACTGAGATCCTAGATGATGGGTCTTCCTACACCAGCCAGTCAAGCACTGAGTATTACTGTGTGACGCCCATTGCTGGCCCGTGCTACACTACCCAGACCCTAGACACGCGGGCCAGGGGTCGGAGGCGGTCAAAGAAGCACAACGTTTCTTCCTCAAATTCAGGAAGCATGCCTAACCTGGCACAAAAGGACAGCCTGAGGAACGACATCTGTTCACAGAGCCAGGAGCAGCCCTCGTCCAGTTACTATATTACAGGCTGCACACAGTACCCCTACCCAGAGTGCGACCTGTATTACAGTGGTGGCTATGTCTATGAAAATGACACCGAGGGACAGTACAGCGTCAACCCTTCCTACCGGGCATCAGCCCACTATGGATATGAGTGCCAAAGGGACTACAGTCGGTCCTTTCACGAAGACGAGATGGTCCGGGCACCCCAAAACCTATATGCAACTCTCCGACTGCCAAGGAAGGCAACTGCTAAATCGGAGCACATCACCAAAAATATCCACAAGGCCTTAGTCGCGGAGCATCTGCGAGGCTGGTATCAGCGGGCCTCTGGGCTGAAGGACCAGGGCCACAGCTCACAGATGAGCTTTGACTCGGACAGGGGGTCCCAGAGACGCCTAGGCTTTGCTGGGCTGCAGGTTCCTTGTTCACCAAGTAGTCGGGCATCATCCTACTCATCAGGTAAGAAGCCAGTGGAGCCAGTGGACGTGACTCTCGCTCACCTCATGGTAGCCCTGTGCTCACTAGATGGTAGAACTGCGCCCTGCAGTTTTCAGTGGCTGTCTTCTCTAGAAGTAATCTTCAGACCTTTCTTGAGTGGACTTGAACTTCAGCCTTTTGGTTAACTGTTCGCATCATTCTGGGGGCACATGACACAAGATTTCATTTATCCAATCAAGGGTCTAAGCCTAGTACCTCATTCATGGAGGCAATAACAATTCAGTGCAGTAATAAGAGTCATCAACTTAAAAACTAATTTCTTTTTTTAGCTTCCTTAAGAACATAGTATACATGAGTCTGATGAAGCCAGTTTTTAATTCAAATTCAGCAAACATTTCTTTATTGAGCACACCCCTCTTTTGCCACTCTCTCGGGGGCCTCCATACAGTTTTACCTGTTCTGGGATTTTGCCTGGCAGCTACATCTCTTAATTGTATTCAGGTCACTGAGAATTAAGATTTTAACCAAACAGATTAAATCTCCTGGCAAGCAGAAAATTTTAAGAAGATACACCCACCTTCCCTGGTCACCTCCAGGAAATTGATCATCTGAGGCAGTTTGTTCTGAATGCTCAGGTCCCTGCATAAGGTTGTATAACTTTAGAAGAAGCTGAGTGCTAAGCATGTTGCTTGTCAAATGTACCTTTATATTTTATTTAAGGCCTTTTCCTATTTTTACTTGAAGGAGTTGTTGAATTTATTAATTGACTTAAGCTTTTAACTCCACTGAAATGTTTGGGAGTGCCCCAGCAAGCTGAATACTCTAAGTATATAAATGGAGATTGAGGGGATCCCTTTGTCCTTTGTTCAGCTAATGAGCAGGCACTTCCCTGAAGTGGAGGATGTTGAACAGAGGCCTGGCCCCTGCGAGCTTGCAAGCCCACTGGAAGCAAGAGGGATGGATGAAAGTGGAGCCATTTAAAAACTCAATGGGTAGAGTCCTAGCATTATAAACAGTAACAGGCTAACCAAAAGCTTGGCAATTGGAAGTCACCCAGAGGTGCCTTGGGAGAAAGGCCTGGCAATCACTTTAGGGAAGTCACACAGTTGTGATCCACCACAAATGGGGTCACCACGAGAGCCAACAGTCACTGTTCTAAGAAATGAATGGGTAAGGCCAGAAGACCCCTTTATTAAGCTTGCCACCTTAGTAAGACCAGTTCAGCCAGGCCCAAATCCTATTTAACTGCCAGCGAAAACTGCACCTTTCAAAGTTTCGTAAGCTTGTTGACAAGAGGCATTTCCATGGGGATTTCTGTTGGGTTCAAGTACCCTTCTGTTTGTGCAGGACTTTGAACTTCCACTTTCCCAGCTAAATAACCTTTGTCATAGCTAACCTGTGAAAAGATGCCTGTAGTTATTTCTCATTATTTATGGCTCAGCTCTAGTGAATACCTTTCCTCCCTCTAAACTTCAGGGTGTTACAGGAGAAACTATCCACAGTCCAGTGTGGACAGGAGGCCACAGGGAAATAACCAGACACAGAGGGCTGGGCCCTGTGGCTAGTCACCAGGCGCAGGGAGGCCAGGGAGAGAAGTAGGTGTAACTTTAGAACCTCAGCATTCCTGGCAATTGGCTCAGAATCTGGGGCAAAAGTCAAAGTTACCTTACACTTCCTGGTTCACACCTGGTGTGAGCCTTGCCATGCTAGCAGGTTTTAATTCTTCAAACTAAAAAACATCACTTTTTAAGTGACTAGAAAGGTAGAAACAGAATCAGTGCCACCAGAATACTCTTTTGGCATTTTCCTCCTTTCTGGCTACGTTTTATAGCTATAGAGGTGTATTACAGCAGACATGCATCGTTATTTGCCAAATTTGTCGGAGATGTTGTAGTCCCTTCCAGCCACCTCAGTGACTCAGTTTAGTAGCAGTGGCACCAGCCGTGTATTGGCAGCTTGCTCTGCCATACACTCAGCATTTTCACATGCACAGATTTTCACACGCACAAAATTCTGTAAGGTCAGTGCTCTTGTTTTGTTTATTACTATCCTAATTTTGCAGCCAGAAGAGCAGTGGTGGTTCAGTGGTAGAAGTCTCACCTTTCACGTGGACTGACCAGGTTCGATTCCTGGCTAGTGCACCTCAGGCACAGCCAGCCACAACCTGTCTGTCTGGCAGAGACTTGTATGTTACTGTGATGCTGAACAGGTTCAGGCAGAAATTCTGGGATAAGATTAGGAAAGAGGCCTGGCTATGTACTTCCAAAAACTGCCAGTGAAAGCCCTCTTAAGTCACAATGGTTCAATCCTGTTACGCACAAGACCCTCAGGAGTTGAGGGGCTAACTCACCATCAGCCAACAACAAATTCTTCAGTGAAGGCTACGCAGACTTAGAACATCTGTTAAAAGTGACACTACCCAAGCCCTATGGCTAGGTTGCACCTCTAACCCAAAGCCTATGTGTGTCTGGCAGCTAGAATCCACCAGCAGCTCCACAGGAAAAAAAGATGCAATTTTTTTCTTCCCATGCAATTTACAGCCTTGGAAGCTGATGGAAAATCACCTCAACAGCAGTGAGTGTTAGCAAGTAAAAAGTTACCTAGCGAGTGAGAGTTAAACTTGAAATTCACTGTGATGGAGTCATCCCAACTCCAAGCAGCCCCTCCATCGGTTTCCAAGGCTGTACATAGGAACAGAAGAAGAGTTCCTCTCCTTCAGAGCCACTATTGGATTTGAACTGCCTGAGAAGACTAGGCACCAGAGCTCTCCTTGTGGGGCTTGGGCTGGGACTCGATCCCGCTCTGCCTGACGTCTTAGTCACCAAGTTCCACAGCTGCTGACTTAGAGTTAAGGAAGGTTCTTAGAAACTCAGAGTGAGAGGGTTAGGGCTGTGAATCTTCCTAGCATCCAGGGCCACAGAATTGTTAGAGAGTAATCCCTCTCCCACTTTGATGGCAGGTGTGCTGCAGGTGGAAAAGAGAGAAAAAGGTAGCAGCTGGGAGCAGGAAATATGGACAAGCCGGAAGGATCCACAGGCAGCGCCAGTGTTTTGAAGCTTGCACGACCGTGGTGCTGTGGCCACCTGGTGCATCCCAGGCATGAGGCAGAACTGGTTTTATAGGAAGGACAGTAGACACCCTGAAGGAGGCATTCAGTGGACCCTCCCCCTAATCACAGCCTAGGCTTGTTCCACTTGAGTCCTTCGGCAGTACAAAAGTTTTCCTTTCTCCGTCCCTTCTCTGACCAGTTCCCACCCCACCCAGCTCCCCACTTTTATCTACCCACCCCCAAGGCAGAAATTAGGTCTTGATCTGTCAGTAGCCACTGCTGATTTTGACTGAGAGACTACAGTATCAGCAAGTGCAGAATGATTTTCCTACAGCGGTCCCCAGAAATTGAAACATTACCAGCTCATTGCCTGTGTGGCCAGCCACCATACTCTGAATCATGAGATCTTCTCAATAGATGAGGCATTTTTTCCCTTCTATTTTCTGGCTTTCCTTTTTTAAAAAACACAAAACAACAACTTTATTGAGATATGTTTCACATCATTTTATGTCAGGTTGATTGATGAGTGTTTACTGTGTACCCAGCACAGTGCTAGATTTTCATCCATTCTTTAATTGAATACACCATCAGCCATGCAGTGTTCTGTCAGGTCAGTTCCGATTCCCAGTGACCCTGGAGGACAGAGTGGGACTTCCCCACAGGGTTTCCTGTGCTGCAGTCTTTGTGGAAACAGATTACCAGAACTTTTCTCCTGAGGTGGTCCTGGTGGGCCCACATTGCTACCGCTCACTTAGTGACTAAGCGCTTACCCATTATCCATCATGCCAGCAGGGCGCTTTACATCAGCTAATGTGTTTTTATAAGCACATGTCAACAGCAGGGTGTGTTTCTATTATTAGCCCCACTTTATAGTGAATGACATTGGGGTGGCCTGCACTGGGGAGCTGCATGACTAACCCAAAGGACAAACCTCTGGTGGTTCAAATCGCCAGCTGTTTTGAGAAAGAAAGATGGACAGGAGCTTCCCGTGTAAATCACTGCTTCAGAAACCTGATACAGGCTCAGCTCTGTTCTGGTTCTGAGTCTGCTCCAAAGAGGTGAGGTTACCAGTGAAGAAACTGTGACTCACTTGAGCATTAGGTGACCAGACTGAACCCTGTTGATTCTAGCCCACTAGAGTGTACACAGCTGGTAATGATAAACATGTAAAAGGCTTAAAATTGTTTTTCATTTTGACTGTTGTTGTTTGGTGTCCTCAGGTCGCTCACAACTCAAAGCGACTCTTTGGAAATAGCTGTGAACCTTACTCTATACTGAGCCAATGTCCCTGTCTGTGACACACCTATCCCCACTGTCCCAGACATTGTGCCAATCCATCTGATGAGAGGGTCCTCCTCTCCTGCACTGTCCCTCCACCCTTCCAAGCCTGATATGCCTCTCTAAGGACTGGTCTCTCCTGGTAATGTGCACAAAGTTTGTGGGACAGAGCTTCAAAATCCTTGCCTCTAAGAAGCAACCTGGTTTCACCTTCTCCAGGACATGCTTGTTTGTTCTCTTGGCAGTCCATGGTATGTTCATTACTTTTTATCCAATAGTTTCCTCTTTCTTTCCATTTTTAATTCTAGTGTCTTCCACAAATGCTTCCGGGAACTGGAGAACGCAGATAACCATCGGGATAGCTGACTATGAGGCTTCTGCACACTCTTCCTACACCAGCTGCTATGGCAACTTGTACACCCCTCTGCCCTCGCCAAGCAGGTGAGGAGGGCGGCTCCAAGGGAGGGAGGGGAGTGGAGGAAATGGGGATGATCCAGTGTGAACATGTACCACACCTGACTTCACCTAGCAGGTGAGGAGGGCGGCTCTAAGGGAGGGGGTGTGGAGCAAATGAGGACGATCCAGTGTGAAAAACAATATATGCAAACTTTGTAACTAAACCAGTATAACATAAAAATTTTATATTAAAATAAATAAATAAATAAAAGTCTACCAGCTTATCTCTGCCCCCAAAACAGGGATCCAATTTTCACCTTGTAAGCACTAAATAATATAGCTAAGAGTTTGTAAAAATAAAGGCCATAGGCCAGATACGAATGTCAGCTTTTTTGTAAAGAAACTTTTATTGGAACATGCTCATTCATGCATATATTATTTAGAGTCATTTTTGTATTATATGAGCAATCTGAGCTGTGACCGAGGGCACAGGGCACACAAAGCTTAAACTTCTTACTTCTCTGGCCCTTTAAGCTGTTTTCTGGCCCCAGTCTAGCTTTTTGAAACACATGCTGTTCTTAGAGTTATGTGGTATTAACTGAGTCTGAAGGTGGCTTTGAGCTTTATAGTGTCTGTGATTACTTGTAATATGTGAATCTGTGTTGTGGATGTGTCCATTTTATGCTCTTTTGGAGGCTGATGGGGGGGAAAAAGCATTTGATTGAAAGTGAACATAGTTTCACCCTACTCCAGGAATGACTGTTCATTCCAAGTTTCCTGGTAGACAGTTGTGGGCTTTGTTTCAAACATTTGCTGTTTGTGTGTGAGCAACCCTGTGTTCTTAGAGAAACAGCAGACGCACTCAGCTGTCCTCCTTGTGTGCAAAAGCAATTTGGGGTGGTTTTTTTTTTTTAGTTTTGGTTTATTTGGGTTAGCCCTTTTTTTTTTTACATTTAGAGGAGATATAGAAAAATATTTAAATGTGATTTAAAATTTAAAGAACTCTTACATGGTTTCTGTTCTCTTTACATACTGGAGGAATTACGTTTCAAGACACTGTTTCTTCCCATAATTTTCTCAGGAAATATAATCCATGGTTCCACACAATGAGAGTATTTTATGTATGCTGGGCCTTTAAAAAATTCTCTCTTCAGAAAGTCTAATGTTGCTTTCTTTAACTTGCACTGCTTCAGGCAGATGAAATGTATAGAGACTGTAGTTTGTGAGGTCTCTGTACTGGTGATTTAGCAGCTATTTTTCCCCCTCCACATTTAGCAGTTTTTCTTGGCTTGAAATATTAGTCCAATTGTCTCAACTCAACAAAGGATATGCTCAAAATAGAATTTTAATGAAAATATACTTAAGTAGACATCAGATAGTTTGGGCTTTTATAAATTGCTTGAAATGGGCAAGCATAGAACACCAAACTTACTTTTACCCAAAATCTGAACAGAAGCTTTGAATTTCAAATCATTTAATACATTTGCAGATAATTTTTCTATTGGATAGTTTCAATTTTTCTTTTTGTTTACACAGTTAATAAGGATAAACTTGCTGTGCACAACTCAGTTCTAATATCTTTGACATCAGTTTCGCTTCTTAACTCAGGAAACGCTCAGCATTTTTAGAGAAGAATGTGTCTTACCAAGTGTGCCCATCTATTCCAGCCAGTCCAGCACAGCTTGATGTCAGAGGGGCATAATGTACAGGAAATTAGAAGCTATTTAAAGATCTCTATTGTGTGTGTGCCTACTTACTCATTGTGGAAAATTTGGAAAATACAGGGCAAAGTAAGTAGAAAATAATTTACCCATAATCCCACCGTCCTGAGATAGTAGTTATGAACATTTTGGTTCTTCTCAGTTACTGTAACTGTTTTTGACGTGAGTATAATGTTATTGAGTATACACCATGGACTGCAAAAGAACAAACAAGTCAGCCTTGAAGGACATGCAACCAGAGTGTTCTTTAGAGACAAAGATGGTGAAATTTCTTACTGTGGGCTTGTTCGCAGGAGGAACCAATCCTTGGAGAGAGACATCGTGCTGGGAAAGGTAGTGGGACTTTCAATGAAATGGGTTGACACAGTGACTGCCACAATGGACTTGGCTGATCATGACAGAAATCGGGAGAACCATGGTGCAGGATAGGGCAAAGTTTAGATCTGTTGTTCACAGGTTCACTATGAGCTGCAGAGTCAATGGCATCTAACAACATCATAATGACGATGCGTATGTAATTTCACATCTTGTTATATGTAAAATTCTACATTTGAGATTTTAATTCAACACTGTATCATACATATCCCAATTTCTTGAAAAACTAAGACTGACAGGATATTCCACTTAATAAAATATCTAAAATTAAAACAGGGAGCTCTGATGGCCCAGGGACAAGAAGCTACACTTCTATTCCAAAGGCATGCAGTTCAAATCTACCAGTTACTTGTTCCATTGGAGAAGGACAGGCAGTCTCTTCCCGTGCAATTAACTGCCTCTGAAAACCTGCCCGATAGTCAGCCAGACTCAATGGTACACAACAACAACACAATGAAAACAAGTCCGCCCACACCGCTGCTCACAAGTCAATTCTGAGCATCTGAGTGTTTTCCAGCCTTGTTTTCTGACTTCCCTTTGGGTTTTTTGTTTGTTTGTTTCTATTTCCATCTCAGCACAGACTACTTGTCTATTTGTCTGAGTTCTAGATTATTTTCTTAAGACACATTCTATAAGTTTAGTGAATGAAGTTAAAGTATATTTTTAGATCTTGTTTTCCAAAAAGATTTATCAGGTTATTGTGCTAACTGCAGAATTATAGGAGTGCTTATTTCCATTTATTTAATTTTTTTTTAAATTCCATTATCATTTTATTCATTTGACTTAACCTATTAATGCAGCACATGTAACAACCATTACATTACATTAGAGGTTTGCTTTAAAATAGCATAAATAGTGCTTAAAAATACAATATTTAAAATAAGATAAATAATCGGATTTCAGAAATAGAAAAGAAAAATCTTAGAAATTATTTGAAATGCTTAGGAATATATTAATAGTTTTTTTTTTAAGAAATAAAGTCCACATTATTTAGATATTCTTTTCCTTGGAATATTCAGGTAGTAAATATTCCAGAAAGCTACAAATAATTTTTGTTGTTGTTGTTAAGTGCTGTCGAGTCGTAGTCGACTCATAGCAACCCTATGAATGAAAGACCTGAGCACTGTTCATGGAGTTTCCAGAGGCAAGCCATTTCGGAAGTGGATGCCACTCCTCCTTCCAAGCTTGCTTTAATTGAGAAGCTCCACTATAGGTAACCATTATCGAATTTGGCACATCAGTGTCACAGTGTTTAGCATCAATCACAGCAACCACGAGTTAATTCTGTACAGCAGTGCACAGACCCGTGCTCAGCATTCCACTCTAGTGCTAACCACTCCCAGAGCCAGCTCCTGTCAGTGACTTTCAAACTGGTCTCTAGTGCCATGCCACCTACCAGGAAAAGTTTTTAAATAGGAGACCTTATCACAAATACTTACCAATAATTTTTCCCCCAATAAGATCTACTGTAACTACTAATGGCATAAATTTTCCAAAAGTAAAAATGTTGAAGTCCCTTATGCTAACTAGTCCATGATAATACAGTCAAATTCTTGGCTCAGCTGTGTTTTTTTAATAACTTATTCTTTTACTTCCTGTTTTCTGTTTACCTCGGTCTTCCTTGTCTAACTACCTACTACTAGGCAGAGACCAGGGATTTTGTCCCGGAGAATGGCTGTGTCTCCAGAAATGAGCTGAGTGTTAAATGCCCTTTTGCTAGGTGTAGCCACTGTAGTAAGTACAGTCACTCCGAGATGTGTGGTGCTTCTTGCATAAAAGGGCTTTTGCTTGCTCTGGTTGACGTGTGAAGTTATGGAATCTGACGTTTTCCCCTAGATTAGATGAAAATACTAAATACTTTGACTTGCGTAGTGTTTGTTTCTTCTCTTCTTTTGAAGGCTTTTATTACCTTTACTAAAAGATATAAACATTTCTAATCTTTACTAATTCTCTAACCAGTTTTAATCTACTATTTTAAGTTTGGCCTGTTGGGGTGGTTTATGTAATAAGATGCTCTCATTTGTATATACCATGAAAATATGCCTATGATTTCTAAATGTGATACTGTCTGCTTAGTTACACTTGGCTCATATAGACACAAAATAAACCTCAAGATACTCCTGCACCCCTCTAATATGTTCTTTTGACCCTGAGGTAAATAGCTAATGTGTTCTCTTGATTTGAACAATACTTCAAATATATCATCAATCTATTTAAAAAGTTGAAAATATGACACACACAAATATAAAATGGGCATTTGTTAAAGATTTATTTAGCAAAATTGTAACACTGGATTTAAAGGGAATTCACAAAACTGGGTTTAACTCACTGAGAGAGAGATGCTGCAACGGGACTACTGAGAACAAAGCACAAGACTAGTTAGCATCCGACAGGGCAGTAAAAGTACAAGAGGACTATTGACCACTGGGCACAAGACTAGTTAGCATCCGACAGGGCAGTAAAAGTACAAGAGTTTTCAGTCAGACAGAAGCTACTTGAATTTTTTCCACAAAAAATCTAAAAATACTGTAACAGTTTACACAATCTGCATTCTCCTCCCTGGTGAATGAGCAGTTACACAGACGTGTCTCTCCCTAGAGAATTAAATTATTCTGACTTGGATCTTTGAGGCCCTGCTCCAATGTGAGGGGCTTCCGGTGACTTAGTGGTAAGGATCTGCACTGTAACACAAAGGTATGCAGTTCAAATCCCACAGCTGCTCTGCAGGAGAGAGCTGACAGTCTCCTGTTGGATGTGCTGCCTCTGAAAACCCACTGGAGGGTCAGCGGTGAGTCTGTTCTGACTCCACAGTACACAACAACAACAACAACCAGTGTGGCAATGAAAACACATGCAGTCACCCTCTGCTTTATTCCCAGGTTCTGGACAATCTTACTTAACAGTGCTTTCTACTAATATCTAATATACTTGTCTTTGTATGTGAGAATCAAAAATGACCACCGAGTAACCCTATTCCGGTTTTCTTTAACAGACAGTACACAGAGGCCAGTCACCTGGACAGTGCGGACGGAAGTCAGTTGGGGGACAGCCTGGACAGCAGCGAGCAGAGACTCTTCTGGCATGAAGACTCCAAGCCTGGAACATTAGTTTGAACTGCAGTTGGACCTCCTGAAGCCAGCGCTGCGTCCTCACACTAATGTGCCTTGCGAAGTGTGTTTGTCTTCCTGGAAAGCTGTTGGCATCAGAGGTTGTGGAGAAGATTCAGGTTGCCCTGGAAGTGAGCCCCACACAGAGACTACAGAGCCCCTGAGGATACCTGACCTTTCAAAGCCCCAGCGTTGTTTACCTGACAGACCAAGGTCTGACTACACCTGGAACCATCACCAAGAGAGGACTCAGATAAGCCTTTAACCACAGCAAGGACTTTTTAAGGGACTAAATGGTGTTGAAGGCAAACCTCAAAACTATGAAAAGTGCATTCAGGGTCTGCAGTGGGCAGGAAGGCTAAGGGAAATTCAGAGCACAATTCACCATGCAGGGAAGAGGGGCCAGAGTTCCTAGTGCTCACTCTGACAAGGTGTGAATCTGTGAACTGACAAGGAAGAACAAGCTATTTGTATGTGGACAACTTGACAGTATTCGAAAATTACTTGAAGAGAGAGGCTGGATTTTCAAGAAGTTCTGAATGAGTGTAAATGTTTTTAGGATATTATAAAGAGTGATGGTTTTCATAAGCACCATAAAATGGGTTCTGGAAAGACACTGCTGTAGCGTCTTATAATGTAACTTTTGTGGTAGTAGATTGGAGGAAATGAGTGTTCTTCTGAATCATAGACAAACCTTGCTTGGAGATTTTCTAAGGTACCATATTGAACTCCCTTCTTTCTGCACCGATCATGTAATGAACTGTTCCTGTTCAGGCTGGTATCTCTTCTGCTTGGCTCTGACTTAAAATGAAGACTTGGTATGGAAAGTTTTTAATCATGAGTTTGGTAAGGTATTTTAAGGTGATACAGAAAGAACCCAAAAGCAACAAAAACACAACCAACATTATTTTAGATTAACTGTGTGCCTTAAAATGATGACCACTAGAAAAGTAAGCATATTGTCTGGGTTCCACAGGTAGTTCTAAGTCACCAAATGGCAAAAACAAGATTAGTCATAAAATAAATACTTCAATCTACGGTAGACTTAATTATGAGGCTAAAACTACCTCATACTTTCTTTGGAGGAACTAATTACCTATGGTTTACTATAGGATTTTTTTAAAAAATTCTTTCCATTTCCAAATTGATTATTTTCTGTCATCTTTATTCTGATTCAGAATTCCATAAAAGGTGCTCCTTTCCCCACTCCCTTTTATACAGGTTCTTGTTCATATTGTGAATGGAGATGTTTCTGACAGGTTTTTTGGAACATTTTCTATCTATATTCCAAAGCATGTAATATATACATGGAGATGATTTGTTAAACTGGTCCTAGTCATTTGTTTCATTAAAAATTAAGTTTGGGGGTTTTCCCAAACTTCTTTTTAGACATGCAAAAAATAATTTATTCCCTTTTGCATATTTGTATAGATTCTAGAAACAGAAATACTCTTTTGACTATTCTTTTACTGTTCTGACTTTTTTTAAGGCCTATTTTTTTTTTACATAGGTCAATAAACAAAAGGTGTGCTACTGAGAATGTTTATGTATTCTTCCTTACACTCAGAGCTCATACAAGCAGTCTACAGTAGTCTGTTTGAATAATTATATTGGGCAAGACTTCTCGTTTTTCAGTTATAGTATTACCATATTTTATTGATTCCAAGATTTTTATATTTATGTCTCTGAAATTGGACCCTTTCTTTTGATTGATGGTGTGCCCTACTTGAATTGGCAGTGTTTTCTTCTTCTTTAGTGATAAACGAAATAAATTTCATTTCTCTGTCTTACAATAAAGTTATCTTGGAATTGATGAAATATAGTAATGTATTGTCTCACTGAAGATGATTAATATAAATTCTTATGCTTCCTAATCTTGGGAATGTTGCTTCTTTGTAACAAATACACAAAACATACATAGTAGTTTTGCTGACTGGCAAACAAGATTTTTAAGATTCAGGGAAACATTTCACCTGACATCTTTTTATCATGGGCAATGGGAAGAAGGGGACAGGAAGCAGAATGTAGGAAGACATTAGTATTAATATTTCAATGTATGTGACTTGTATTAAAATGACATTTTCCTGTTCAAGAGAAGCATGCTCAGAATTGCATATGCGCTTTTAAAGGGCTAATAGAATTTGGCACCCAAAGTGAAAGACGGAAGCACAGTGGCTCTGCTGAGCCATTCTTCTCCCTCCACAGTTTGGTTTACTTTTTGTTTTTTAAATTGCGTTTTCAGTGAAGGTTTACATGGCAGCTTAGGTTCCCAGGCAGCAATTTCTACACAAGATCTTCTAGGACATTCATTAGTCATTGTGGTTCATGAACATTCTTATTACTTCCGGATGTTCAGTGTCCTCTACGTTTTGAAAAATATCTCTGAACCACACTAGGTTGTACAGGTAAATTTGTCAACATGTAAACTTTTTTATTAATATAAAATATCATCTAGCTTCTTTTTACTCAGCATGTGCTTTCTACAGTTGCTAGCCAATCTTGCCTTCCCCACAATAGAGCATGTTGCATGGCACACTTACAAAAAAAATACATCATGGTCCACTACTGACAACTCTGAAAAGGATCATAGTAGAAGATCACGGAAAGAGTATTTGAAAAGTGCAGGGAAAAACCCTTTGAAGACAAAATTGGCCAGGCTTATTATTCTTGGAATCCTCAAGAATATAGCTCTTTGTCACTCTGAAAAAACTCACCCCTTAGCTCAACTTCCAACCAAACAAAAGACAGGTCTGGTAAAGAGTTAGACTGACAACCCAAAGGCACTTGGTTCAAATCCACAAACTTGTCCTTGGAAGAAAGAGGAGCAATTTCCTCCTGTGTGATTTCCTGCCTCTAAAAACCTGCTGTTTGGTCAGCTATGAGCTGGTTCAGACAGGAGAGTAAATAACAACGTAAGGTTCCTGGTAACACCAGAAGGCACTGACTCGCTGACTCCACAGAACAATCAATCCTCTTAGGATCGGAAATGCAGCATTTGCCTGGGTATACAGCTCAGAAGGCAAGTAGGATATAAGGATTGATGGAAATAGGAATCAAAGGGAGGAAGCGGGGAAAGTGCCATTACATTATGGATGTGAGAAAACAAAATTTGTATGAATGGTTGAATGGAAAACCAATTTGTTCTGTCAAATTTAAAAACAATGAAAATTTTATATGTGTGTTTTTAAAAATTTCATCATGGGAGGGAGGCACAGTTGCCAAACAAACAGTTGTATACCACATTATGTGTGTACAAATACTCATGGTAAAAAATTTTAAAATACAAACACACAAAAATATATAACAAAAAAAAATCAAAACCTGTAAGTGTAACATCTTCTAATATAACATTCTTAATCTATGTATTCAGGTTTTTTCTATGCATATAGTGATTAAGCTCAGAGGGGAGGAAAAGAAAACAGCATTGAATTACAAGTACAATTCTACAGCTTTCTGTTTCTCACCTGAACACTTGAGTCTCACTTCTATTGATACATAGCAATATATTTCATAAAGATGTATATTTTACAAGGTAGATTTTTTAAACTGCCTCGTCTTCTTTGATGTTTATATATTTTTTCTATATTTGGAAAATTTGTCAAAATTCTTTGGTGTGCCCATAAACGTTTAAATGTCAAGCAATAAAGGTCCCAGAACTGTCTATAAACTAATAGTTTGATCTGTTCTTGGGAATGCAAGTTCCAATGGAAATATTTCCCTGTCAATTTGGTTTTCAGAATGAGAGCACTGACTTGGTTCCTGCCAGTGAAGAAGTCTCGATGATTGTCTAGAGCAGTGATAGTTAAACTCAGGGGGAAAGACTTTCTCCCACACTTTTGAATCCATCAAAGGTGTTCTAAAATAAAAAGTGAACTCCTAGAAAAATGAAATTAAGACACACAAAAATGAAATTTGAAAATATCCTGTGAAATTCCAATTAAGTTTTGTAAATGTCACCTCTTGAGTTTCCACATTTACCTGCCCTAAGGCCCTGGTACAGGCTCCAGACCAACTGAGGTTTACATCCATCAGGTGCTTCTGCAGTAGAGGCATGGGGAACTCTCCATTTAAAGAGAAAAACATCCTCCCCACATCCAGAGTCCAGAAGAGGTGACTCCCTCATCTCCTAGCATCCTGTGACTGAAGAAAGCGCAGCCCAGTCCCACCAACCAGGGCCAGTCTGTGATGCAGAGGTCTCATTGGTTCAGAAGTAGGTCTCCAACGTCTTTCTTTCTGGTCCGTGTTGGTTGGGAAGCTCCACTGAAACTTGTTAAACATCATAGCGGCATACAAGGGGTGTATTGGGCAGGAATGACGCGCTTGACCCAATGCTGCTGCTGTTGTATGCTGCCCACTAGAATTCATAGCAACCTTGGGAACATCGGGTCAGAATTTTATACTGTTTTGCAGCGTCTTCATGATCTCCGATGCGCATAAGTCTATTGTCTCTTGTTGAGCGTCTTCCTCTCTTTCTCTGACCCTCCTCCTTTACCAGCTTAATGTCTCTTTCCAAGAGCTGACCCTTTCGGCCAACCTGCACCAAGTCTGTGAGGTGGAGTTCCACCATCCTGACTGCTAAGGAGCACCCTGGTCCCAGAGAGTGAGAATCCCACCACCAAACCACTTCTGTACCCTCTGTGTTGCTGACTCTATTTTTCATCCCTTTCTCTGGATTCCCTTATATCTTTCTACCATCCTGCCTCCCCTCTACCCCATCCCTGTACCACTATGAAGCAGAAATGAGAAAAGTATACCTTGCTTCAAAAAGCCATATTTCAAACATGGTTGGCCAATCCTTCCTCCTAGTCTGTCTGAATATAGGAGCTCTGCTTTAGGATAGCATCTGGCAGACATGCGCTATCCCCGTAAGAGCAGATGTGACTGTGTCAATGGGCTCAAGTATGTCAGAGATGATGAGGATGGCACAGGGTTCAGAGCTGCTTGTAGGAAAGCTGTGAGTTGTACTCGACTTAATGGTACCTAACAACATCTAAAGGCAGGGGGTT